CTGACCCTCCCCCCTCTCATGTGCTCTCTCTCTCTCTCATTCTCTCTGTCTCAAATAAATAAATAAAATCTTTAAAAAAAAAAAAAAAGAAGGGCTAGGTAGATAGATATCTTAAGGTAATAGTGAGGAGTATTAGCAATAAAGCTCATAACATCTTTTCCTGGAATTTATATGTTAGTGCAAGAACTTCTCACTAAAATGGGCCTTTGAATGTGATGGTCTACAAATTCCTATTGAAAGATTAGGATTGGCAGAATGGGCTTAAAAATCGGACCCAACTCCATGTTGTCTACAAAAACCACCCATCAGTTATAGCCGTGGGCAGGTGTGAAAGCCGCGCGCTGACCGTAGGGGGCGCTGCGGAACAAAGCGTTGGAGCCACTGGACCTTCACGCGCAAAAAGATGAACCACACTGTAGCTCTAGACAACAGTGAGCTCTACGTGGATTGTGGACTTAAAATTAAAATGTAAAGCTCTCAACTTTTGGAAGAAGACATAGGAGAAGATCTTCAGGATTCAGGGCTAGGCAAAATGTTTTTAGATTTGACACAAAGCACAGAAAGTTAAATACATAAAAATGTATTTTTACAGTTAAAACAGTTAAAGCAAACAATCAAACATTCTTATCAGAAAAATGGGCAAAAGAGGTGAAGAGATATTTCACTGAAGAAAATATACAGACGGCAAATAAGCACATAAAAAATCAGCCGTAAGGGCGACACACATTAAAACCACTATGAGATATCCTGCACTCCTATCAGACTGCCTAAAATAAAGATGGTGATGGCACCAAATCCTGGCAAGGATGGGGAGAAAGTCGGGATCACTCACACCTGGCTGGCAAGTGTGTAACACGGTAGAGCCACTCTGGGAACAGTTTGGCACTTTTACATTTTTATCTATTTAACTGATTTTACAAAACCAAATATGCCGTTATCCTATGGCCCAGCTATTGGACTCCTGGACATTTATTCCTGAGGAATGAAGACTCATGTTTACGTGAAAGCCTCTGCATGAATATTAAATGCAGCTTTACTCATAACGGCTCAAACGTGGAAACAACCCAGATACTCTTCAACAGGTGAGTGATTAAACTGACACATCCATCCCATGAAATACTACCCAGCAGTAACAACGACATGCACACAACCTGAATGAATCACCAGACAACTATATGCTGAGTGAGAAGCCAACCCCCAAAAGGGACATACTGTATGAGCTCATTTATACATCATTCTCGAAATGTCAAAAATCGTAGAGGCGTGGAACAGATTGGCGGTTGCCTGGGACTAAGGAGGGGGTGGGGCCCGAAGGGAAGACGGTGTTCTGTAAACGGGTTGGGGGTGATATACTGCATCCTGACTGCGTTGGGGTCTGTGTCACCACTAGAGAAACCTGGGTAGGTGGTACATGGGACCTCCCTACATTCTTACAGCTGCATGTGTATCCACAATTCTCAAAACCCAAGGTTTCATTTAAAAAAGGGAAGCTTTTGGGAGTGTTTGGGATGAAACCTTAAACCACTTAAATGTGTCCCATGTGTGCACACGTCCCAAAAGGCTTTTCAAAGGAAAGGGGTTGGTAGCGTGAATTGTACGCTATGCAGATCTTAAGCTTTCTCTTGCCCATGTAAGCCTTTCCTTATTTCATCACATAAGAGTCAGTTAATCTCCACAGAGAATTCTTGGTAAATCCCTAAGTTTTAAGGCTAGTAGGCACACATCTCAAGGTCCCAAGAACATTATTTTCTTATGATCACTCTCTCAAAAGCTCTAAAAGTCCATATTAACTAGAGATTACATGGACCACTTGTTCATTTCTTTATTGGTACACTCTATACTGTATTTAAAAGTATGTCTGTAAATTGTGGAACTGGTCCACCTGCCAGGTAGCCCTGCTAAAATTATATTTTCTAGAAACCATAACCAATGCCCGAGCATAACAATCTTTCCAATTCAGTGTAACTGATTTGAGGGAATCTTTAGAAAACCTAACCCTACGAGGGAAGGCCTGTAACCATGATGACTTGAAGTCACAGACAGACTACAAATCATGAGATTGAGCTTTGAGTCCCACCTTCACACCTGATTGATCCCATGATCTTGGGCAAGTTACATCATCGGACCTTGATTTTTCATATTTAAAACTGGCAGGAGTATCCATATTTCCATCATCTCTTTCTCCCATGAGGAGAAAGATTCTTTTCATAGATGAAAGTGTTGACTACATAAGAAAAGATTCAAATCAAAGCGGAGATCTCAGTCAGTCAGACTGTGGCTCACCTGAGTCATGGCCAGTGTGTCTCCAGAGCCCCCTCGGGCAACCATAGCTTCCTTTTCACTGATCCAAGCTTCCTCCTCCTCCGCATTCTGCATGAATTCCAAGTACTCCAGGGATTCCTCCAGGTGACGCCCTCTGCAACAGGCGGTGAGCCCCAGTGAAGATGAGAAGACAGCAGGACCCAGGGGAGCACCGCACATAGCTTGGCCGCACGAGGCAGCTGCAGTGGGACTGGGCCACGGAACAACCCGACCTGAGCTCCTGTGAACCGGGGAGGCCCTGGCCCCAGAAGTTCCGTTTTGTGGCATCATCTGCTCTCTGGGAATCTTTGCTGGGGGAAGGGAGCCTTGTCCGAACACGAGGGCCCAGACGTCAGAGTTGGAGGACAGCATCAGTGAAGTATGTCTCCTTCTACTCAGAGCACCGTGGTTCCTCTTATACAGTGAAGACACCTGCAGTGCTAGAAGTTTCCTAGTATTCCCCAGAAAGACATGTCTTCCTACCACCAACAGGTATGGAATCACAGGCAGAAATTATTCTGTTTGGCTATCTGGCTGCAGGGTTCTCACTGGCTGTGTGGCTATCAGGGAGAAAATATATCCCCTCGTTCTTTCATTCCTAGGGGCTGCTCACAGCACTAAGCCTGGGGGGGTGTCGTACAAAGTAAAACAGACCTAGGGGCATGACCTGGTGTGAAGCATTGGCGCATGAGGCCAACAATGATAAAGGACGGTTGCAAGAAAGCATGGGAGCAGAGGTGTGTTCAGACCACAGAGGTGGCAGCCTCCTCACCTCTCCCTGGGGTCAGTGGGGGCAAGCTGCGTGGCAGACTGGCATCTGAGCAGGGACTTCGATGATAAATAGAGATGGGGAGTTGGGGAGAGCAGCCAACACTAAGCCGAACACCAACAACCCAGGAAGATAGCTGGGCTTCCTATCCCCGACTCACCGAGCTGCCGCCAACTCTTTGAGCTCCTCCCAGTGTTGAAAAAAATGAGTCAGCCGTTCCTGGATCTCCTCTTGTCCCACAGCAGCCCTATCTCCCAGCCTGTCTGCCGCATCCAGCACACTCTGAAGAACACACACCCATGTCACCTTACCCCACAGACTCTCCCCATTTAGTCAGAGTTCCCTGGCAAGGTATCCAGCCCTTCCCACCCTCCACATCATTTATAAACCCCATGGTACTTGGGGTGGTCTTGAAAATCTTGGGAGAATGAAGACACCTGCAGTCAGGTCCATCACACTAAATGTCCCCTTGTGCAACCTCGGTGCTTCTACCAGGCTATGCTCCATGATCTGCTGTCTGGATTATTCATGGTCATAGTGTAATGCAGAGCTGTCTTCTTCCCTACGACTCAGCTCAAGTACAGCTTTTCCAGATGTCCCAGACTGCACCCTAATCACCAACAATTGTGTCTGCGGTATTGAAAGTGTCCCTTCTGGGGAAAAGCATAGTCCCTGAGCAGATTCCTTCTATTCATAGAAGACAACATGCAGAGGAGGGAAGAATGCCTGTAGGCTCTGTGCCTAGCTCCCTGTGGCTCTGCATGCCACCTCCCCATTGTGGTAGGTAGGTAGCATCACCCTACTGATCCACAGATCTCAACTCTTCCTACCTGGATGGTGGGTTCGTGGGCCACCAGCTCCCCCTCTAAGCGCTTGTGCTTCTTCAGCAAATTCTGCACCCCCTGAAGGTCCCTCCCATAGTCCTGGGAGCTCACGCGTAACAGCTTCTCCCTGGGACCAAGGAAGGAAACGGAAAACATAGTTTAGATATTCCAGGTCACCCTAGAGCAAGGGTTTTCTAAGAATGGGTGTGTGGCTGGGGGTGGGGAGGTGGTAAATTCTGGAACACTCGGGGGTCAGTAACCACAAAGACAATTAGTGCCAGAGGCTTTCTGCAAAACTCCTGACAATACAAATGAAAATTACCTACTGGTCCCCACTATGCCCACAGCTGTGACAGCCTTTCCATTCATTCCCTTGTCTGCCTACCTGTGTATCTTTTCTTCTTTGCTCAAAAACAGGCACTAATGTTTCTCTTTCAAAAAATGTGAAAATTATATGCACACACATATAAATGACCCTATGTACATATATGGCCTTCATTATTTTTGTCTATTAATATCAATAATGAATTTAGGTAGAATGGGTTAAAAAAAAGCTGATACTGCAGGAGTCATGGCTGTTGGATCAGTTCCAAGCGTAAAATGTTTGACTGCCACCACAAAGCATAGTAAAAGACTACACAGACAAGATTATATTATCTCATTGTTTCTGACGTTCCCAGATGTCCTCCTTGCTGCCTGGTGCACAAGGCTTCCCTCTAATTCATTGATTACCAGCGAGAATCAGCAGGCTTATAGAAGAGGAACACGGTGAGGCAGGTTAAATGGGAAGTAGGGAAAATAATTTGATTTACCAAGATTTTCCCAATCATACTTTTTACAACAAAAACAGAATTAGTAATGAAAGCCTGGCAGGTACTGGGTAATGCTGGCCTGTGTCCAGTTCGGTGGCACCTTAGATTCCCAGGATGGAGCTAGAGTGTATTGTGCTGAGCAAAATAAGTCAGACAAAGAAGGGCAAACACCATATGATTTCACTCAGATGTGGAATTTAAGAAACAAAACAGATCAACATAGCAGAAGGGGAAAAAAAGAAAAAGAAGGAAGCAAACCATAAGAGACTCTTAAAGATAGAGAACACACTGAGGGTTGATGGAGGTAGGTGGGTGGGGGATGGGCTAGGTGGGTGATGGGGATTAAGGAGGGCACCTGTTGCGATGAGCACTGGGTATTATATGTAAGTGATGAATCACTGAATGCAACTTCTGAAACTAATGTTGCACTGTACGTTTCTTTTTTGTATGTTAACCAACTAGAATTTCAATATTTTTTTAAAAAAATGACAAGGATCTCAGCAGTTGAGTAAGTTGTAAAGGCCCAGCTGTCTCATCCAGACATTACACATTCTATGAACTATCTAGAACAAGCAAGCATATGTGGTTTCTTAATTTTATTCCCAGAAGGTATGTGAATTGCTCCCCACTTCTCCAAGCCTGTCCCCTTCTGCCTGCATACAGTGAGGTAATTTGAGAAAAATAAAACCAATGTTAACTTTAGGCTAAGGCAAGCATGGTTAAGAAGTAATACCAACTGTAATAAACAATTACATATTTCATTTCAGCACCAAATGGGAACATGTTTGGTGGATCATCTATTCTCTTTGGTTATTGGTGCAGTGTGAGCTGACTGTACATACTCTATCCATGATTCCTCATCATCTAGGTCCTGGAAGAACTGGAACAAGGCATAAGCCTCTTTGAGTTTCTCATGGTGTGTGGCTGCCAAGTCCTGGACATTCAGGAAGCGCTCGTTGACATTATCCCTTTCCTCCACAATCTGGTCAACATTGAAAGTGCCACTGGAGAGCAGATCAGCAGCTAACTCATTCAGGTCCTTGAGTGCATCCTAGAAAGCCGAGGTGGTCTCAGTGAACAGAACGATACAAGCATTAAGTAGACCCTGGACTTTAACCACCACTGGTGCAGGTTCAAAGTCTGGGTCAAATAGACTGTTTTTGAAGATAGTCAAACTGATGATAAGCTCTTTTAACTCAGCTCAGATGGGGGCAAGATCAGAGCAATGTGAGTAACATGACTGTAATACTCAAACTGCCCATTCGCCTTCTGGTATTCTCCCTTGTTTTTTCCTCCTCTTCCCAACTGGAAAATGAGTGTGAGTAAGTGTGTGTCTCCAAACATGACTGTCTTCCTCACAGTCCTGAGTCTGACACAGATTGATAGATAGAAGTATTCAAGAAGAGCTACTCTACCATAACATTCCTAGGCTGACCATGTCCAGAACACACCCAGACTCTTCTGCCTGTTTTCACTCTAACTGTCCTTCTAGTATTGTCATGGGGAATGTCATCAGGTCCTAAAGCTCTGGAACTTAGAAAGCCTTTGACTTCTTGTCCTTTCTGTGCCTATTTCTGCCACCAAATAAAACTGATAATATAAAATTCTCCAGGATGAAATCAATACCTGCCAACATGTTTATCACTGCTCCCAAAACACATTTCTGCTTGATATTGGAATGCAACTGGAATTCTCCATAGAATTTCCAGAGTGTATATATAGTTCAACTTCGTTGCACATGATATCCCCCTCTGATATTTTTTGCTCTCTGTAATTATGTAAAATAAACTTTCTTTCAAAGGCCAGATCAAATATGAGCTTTGGAAGATAGTGAGTTTAGACGTATGCCTCATTAAAAAGGTAGACAAGATAGCTTTGGGATCCTCTTCCTGGATCCTCTTCCTTAGAATCTGTAGTTTCATGATAATTGGTTAGCAGTGACCATTGCCACAGCTCTGCAGCTCATGGATTTGACCTGGTATAATGACTGCTGGCTGAGAACGCTAAGGTCAGTTTTGCAAGAAAGTGTTCTCAAATGGCCTCCTAAGATGAGAGAGGAAAGTCAGAGGCATTTCCATTCTGCCCAGAGGAGTGAGACTCCAACACTGCTTACCTCTCGGGCCAACATCTCTGTTTCCAACAGCTGATGTTTCTTGAGCAAGTTTCCTGCTGAAGCCAAGTCTCTGGCCTGATCTTTCATGGCCAGCAGGGTCTCTGCCTGCGAATAAAGAAATATGCAATGAAGCTGCCAGATGAAAACTGTCTTTAAGGAGAACATTAGCAACCATATTCCCCAACTTTTCCCAAGAAAGTCAAGGAAATTGTTCATGCATAAATCCATTTACCTAGCAATTAGTTATTAAGATCCCATGCCCCCATCATTCCGGGTGCAATTACCTCTGAGAGCCAGAACTTAAAGTCCTGGATGCCTGTGTTGAACCTCTGTTGGCGACTCGCCTCGTTGAGCTTCTGTCCTTTGTCAATTGTTTTCTCAAGCAGGTAGTTCCAGTGTTTGTCCAGCTCTTCCAGCTGACCCTAACCCAAAGAAATTTGGGGATCACTATGATCTTTAGGATCCTGAGTCCTGTGACAACTTGAAGAGATACTGTAGGGGCCTAGGAGTTAGGGACTAGCCAAAATCTGCCAACCCTTGAATGCCATACATTTTTAAACAGTTATGCTTAATCTGGGAAACAGGAGGTGTTGGAACAAAGTTTGAGGAAAGGGTCCTGGGCTGCTTACAGAGACTGGTGCCAAAGAGCCAAAGCTCTTGGCAGTAGGGATAGAAAATGTCAAACAAGCATGACAATGCTTAAGAATTAGGTCTAAAGCTTTCTCAGAGTCCTAGGTACTGAGTTTGAGAGAAGTGATAAGGTCTGAGCAACACGGTTGCCTGCTTTCTTTGTGTGACAGTCAGAGGGAAGATCGCTAACCACAGAACACACTCCATATCCCCACCCATGGAAACTCTGAAGGAAGAAGAGGCTTCTCCTCATGCGCCTTTAGCCCAAGCCATCCTGAGCAGAACCCCTACCTTCATGGTCTCTTCATTGCCGTCACATGCCTCCCGCTCAATCAGAGAGTTCCCCAAGTTGAGGACTCCCTCCACCTCCTCAGCTCGGCCCTGGACCTCATTTTCAAAAGCCTGGTGCTTCAGGTATTTTCTCTGAAGGGAAAGCAGAGACTAAATTACCCTGTAATCTAAGGAAGCAAGATAGATAAATTCTGTTTCAAAGAAAAAGTTAATGTTCTGTCATAACCAACGGTGACTTCTGAAGGACCCACACCTTCACATTAGACTCAGAAGCCCCTGAGGACAGACAATGGTCTCAGCAGTGAGGAAGCATTCTGTGTAGGGAGACAATCCTTCATCCAACAATCTGGGTATGCCAGAGTTTTCCAAGATTCCTGTTTTGAACTTGCCTGAATGTTGGTGGGATCTTTGTAGGATTCATCGCAGGCTATGGGCAGCATCTCACTGATCCATTCCTCCAGGTCCTCAAGGTCATGGTGGAATTTTTTGAGGTCAGCATAGTCACCAAGTTTTGTCCGCTCAGCAATCAGCAGTTCTTTTAGAGCATTCCATCTGGAGGAGGAAGCTAGATCACTCTCTGCCCCCGACCCTTCCACCAAGGTCTGATGCCATATCTGCAGTCTTCTCATTTGCCAACTTGTCCCTTCTCCTCTCGTTATTTATGGATTTATACGTTATATGTAACATAGCTATATATTATTTAGCTATATATTATATATTATAATATTACAAATAATGCTCATATACATATTATATTACATGTATGTTATATCTAATATTACATATTATATTAATAGATTTAGTTGTTGCATAGTCTTGTTATTTTCAAATATAAAATACAGTGGTTAAGTCAGTAATAATTAAGTTGTATTCCATGCCTTTCATTCTGTGAGTCTAGATCAGAAATGTTTCCAAGTGTCAACATAGTTTTAGGCATTTAGAAATGAAAAGAACTCAGAGTGTGACCCCCATCCTCCATGCTAGCAAAGAGGTCACTTTGCTGCATCTTCCTTAGCTCACAAAACACCTGCTCAGGCCTGACCTGTCTAGCACCCGTTGGAACCGAGCAGCAATCTCCTCCTTGGCATAGTGGTCATCAGCTATGAGCTGCTCCGCAACATGGTCCAACTCAGTGATCTTATTTTCCTAGATAGAGGAAAAGAAAAAAGCTCAGATGCCTGGAGATTAAGCCTTCAGTGCAATCCCAGACTCTCTCCTAGAAAAGAACAGAGACACCCTTTATGGCTTCACAAAGGGGAACAAAACCAGGGCCAGAGGGTAAATGCCACGAAAGTGGCTTTTAATTCAACAGGAGGAGAAACTTTAATAATGACACTAAGATGGGCTCCTGTGATACTGACTCCAGTGGTACTGAGCTCCTGTGATACTGACTCCAGTGGTACTGAGCTCCTGTGGTACTGACTCCTGTGGTATGGACTCCTGTGGTACTGACTCCTGTGGTACTGACTCCTGTGGTACTGAGCTCCTGTGGTACTGACTCCTGAGGTACTGACTCCAGTGGTACTGAGCTCCTGTGGTACTGACTCCTGTGGTACTGAGCTCCTATGGTACTGACTCCTGTGGTATGGACTCCTGTGGTACTGAGCTCCTGTGGCACTGACTCCTGTGGTACTGAGCTCCTGTGGTACTGAGCTCCTGTGGTACTGACTCCTGTGGTACTGAGCTCCTGTGGTACTTTGCTCCTGTGGTACGGACTCCAGTGGTACTGAGCTCCTGTGGTATGGACTCCTGTGGCACTGACTCCTGTGATACTGAGCTCCTGTGGTACTGACTCCAGTGGTACTGAG